TACCTCTGCCTCCACCTGCACCTCTGCCTCTACCTCCATCGCCACCACACCAGCAGCAAAAAAGAACAAGAACAAGAACAAGAGCTTCAAAAACAAAGCCACAGCCTCCGCAGCACCCGAGAAAACCAACAACAGTAAGAATGGAGCACAAGCCCAAGCCCAAGCCCAAGAAGAACATGGCCCAGCGCGAACTCGAGCGCATGACCGCCCAACTCGGTGGCCAGTCCCCCCTGGTGACCCCCCTGGGCCCAGGGAACTGGCCGTCCCCCTTCTCCATGGGCATCCTTCCCAGCGCGCAGCTAGGGAAGTACATCAGGGCCTACTACGGTGCGTCTCCTCCTGTCCTTTTCCCTCCCCTTCCCCCTCCTTTTCCCTCCCCTTCACAGCCCTCTTTCTCCATCCTTTTCCCTCCCCTTCACTCCCCTCCTTTTCCCTCCCCTTCACACCCCTCCCTCCCTCCTCCGTCCTCCCTCCTCTGCCCCCATCCTCCCCCCCCTCCCCAAAACAGAAACCCAAACCCAAACAAAAGAGACCATCCCATCCCCATCCCACACCCCTCCCACCCCCTCCCATCCCACACCCCAACTAAACCTCCCACCCCTCACACCAACTAACCCTCCCACCCCCCAAACCAGGCTCCCTCCTCTGCCATGACATCGACAATGCCCTCCCGGGCCGGCAGCCGACCAAGCAAGGCAGCCTCCAGCGCCGGTGGAGCATCGCGCCGAACCGCTTCCCGCTGCTGCTCCCGCTGTACAACGCGCACCGCTACCGCTTCGCCGGCTCGCGCGACATCAAGACCGCCGCGAGCCTGAAGCGCATGTGGGAGATGTGGAACGCCGAGATGCGCCGGCTGATCGACCTGGCGAACGCGAGGGCCGCGGTGAGTCGCAGGGCGGGTGGCGGATGTCTATCTTTACTTTTCCTTTCTTTTCATTTTCCTTTTTTTTTCCACCATTTTTGTTTTTCCTTTTTTTTTTTTTTTTTTTTCTTATATAAGTTTTTGGATTTTGGGATTTCGGGGTCCAAGTGGCTGAGAACGGGAACGGGCATGGCAATAGCAATGGGGGCTGATCGGTGTGTGTATGTCATATTTCTAGGCCGAGGGAAAGACCCTGACGTATGTAGAGCTGAGCGACAGCGAGGACGAGACGGAGCACGACGATAACGCCAACGACGACGAGAAGGACGCCGACGAGGGCAAGGGCAACAAGCAAGACGGCAAGCCGGTGGTGGAGGTGGAAGACGACGACGATGACGATGACACGGAGGAGGAAGAGGTTGACGATGAGGAGACGGAGGACGATGATAGCGATGACGACTATAAGGACGACGACGAGACGGAGGATGAAGAGGACGAGTAATTGGATGCGGAGAGGAAGATGCGGAGAGAAAGACACACAGAGAGAAAGACAGAGAGCACACAGAGAGGCAGATAGAAAGAAAGAGAGAGAGATGTTTGTATATATATATATACCCTTGTACCAACCAAACCAACCAAATCAACCAAACCACCACACGATAATCCATAATCCATAATCCATAATCCATAATCCATAATCCATAATCCATAATCCATAATCCATAATCCATAATCCATAATCCATAATCCATAATCCATAATCCACAACAACCGAACCCATCATGCAAACCAATCCGCCACCCACTCAACCAACCAACCAACCAACCAACCACTCTCCTCTCCTCTCCTCCCCTCTCTTCCTTTTCCAATCCGCTCGCTACCCTATTACCTACCATCAAGCTTATATATATATATATCTAGCATCAACTCCCCCCACCCCCCCCCCAAAAAAACAAGCTCACCAAATAACTGAGCGAGCTGCTTGTTCTTCTTCTCCCTTCCTTCTTCTCCCTTCTCTCCCTTCTCCCCCTTCCTCGCTACTTATCTTTACCCCTAAATATATATATATGTTCCACTCCTCAGGATCATCTGTAAAGATCAATCTAGGCATTTTGAAAAAAAACTCAAAGTCCAAACACCGAAAGAGCCTCCCTCCTCCCTCCTGATCCACAAAGCTGAATGGAACTCCGCCGACGGGTAATGAGTGAATGAGAGGGAGATTGGTAAGCCAAGGAGACAATGGAATGGTACTTGGAGGATAGTGGTAGTAGTAGTCGCGTTACCCTAGACTCCGTACACCTACCGCCATGAAAATCTCGAGGTACGACGACAGGTCGGATTTCATACACCAAGCTTTCAGATACACTTACAATGTCTTGGTCTGCAGTCACACAATTCGCATGGAAAAGTTACAAGAGAAGTACAAGTAATAAACTCCGAGATCTGTCGATTTAACAGCCTGATATTCTCACCAGATACTCTAGATCTACTGGACATCACTTGTGCGCTGTTCGGTACCCACATTGTCAGCAGTGCACCGATACCAAAAATCGCAGAAGATCAATGCGCTGAGGGACAGGGTAAGGGGACTTACGGATTCCTTCCTCGGAGACAGGCTTGATGCCAACCTCCTCCGCCGCCAGCTTCTCCTTCTTCATGCTGGCGTCTTCCTTCATGAACGGGAACGCGAGCACTTCCTTGATGCTGTAGTTGTCGGTCAAGAACATGACCAGTCGGTCAATACCCATACCCCATCCTCCGGTTGGTGGGAGACCGTATTCTAGGGATTGGCAGAAGTTCTCGTCGATCCTAGAGAAGGTCAGCATAAGTGGCACCCATAGAGCAACACTTTCTTTCGTACATCTGAGCCTCATCATCACCCTGGTCTTTCTGACTAGCCTGCTCCTCGAAGCGCAATCTCTGGTCGAAGGGATCGTTTAACTCGGTATAGGCATTTACGATTTCTTTCTTGCAGACGAAAGCCTCGAAACGTTCACAGAGACCGGGGTTGCTGCGGTGATACTTGGCAAGCGGGGACATCATCTGTGGGTGGCCAGTGATCATGGTTGGGTTGATGCACTTCTCCTCGATGAACTCGCCGACCAGCTTGTCGAGCATGCGGGCGTTGGTGAGAGGTGGTGAGCACTCGAGGTTCATCTTCTTGAGAACGCGGCGGAAGAATTCATTGGTCTCCTTAGTATGAAGTTGATCTCCGGGTGGAAACTTCTCGCCAGTAGCCTCCTCAAGGGCAGGAATCATCTCAATGCGCTTCCAAGGCGCGGCCCCTGAGATGGGTCAGTATTGAAGGCTCTCAACTGAGAGATACATCCAATAAGGGAGTATCCCCACAACGCGGAAACGGAGAGCCAGAGTACTCACAGTCGACTTCGTACTCTTCGCCGTGTTGCGTATGGTACTTGGTGGTGGTGCCTCCGGTAATGTGCTTGACAAGACCAGACACAAGAGCCTCTGTCATGTCCATAATATCGTAAACATCGGCGTAGGCCCTGTTTCACCAAGTCAGAATCATTTCCTTTACAATATACTCCAAACGCAGGGAGGAATTTTTTCGGGGATACTGGCATTCCAAAGGCGCAACTTACATGTAGAACTCGCAGGTGGTAAATTCGGGGTTGTGGGTAAGATCAATACCCTCGTTCCGGAATTGACGACCCATCTCGTAGACACGGTTTAGACCTCCAACAACAAGCATCTTGAGGTACAGCTCTGGCGCAACACGCATGAACATGTCCATGTTCAAGTCGTTGTGGTGAGTCTTGAAAGGCTTGGCAGTTGCTCCTCCAGCGATCGGGTTCATCATAGGGGTCTCGACTTCAACGAATTCTTGCTCATCGAAGTATCTGCGGATATAGGTGATCATCTTGGATCGGGTGAGGAAGACGTTGCGGGTCTAGATATCCAGGAATTAGCAACTGGCCACTTTTCTGTACATGTTCGTTGCCCCATATTCTAGGGCAATCGGCAGGCAAAGCAATCAATGGCGCATACCGGCTCGTTCATGATAAGGTCAAGGTATCGCTTCCGGTGTCTCTGCTCCTGGTCCTTGAAGCCGTAGTACTCGTCGGGAAGTTGGTGCAGACAAGGCGTCAACAAAACAATCTCCGTGGCAAAGATGGACAGCTCTCCCTCCTCGCCCTTCTCAATCTTGTTCTTTGGCGCCGTACGCCCCGGGTATCCCACGATGCCAATGATGTCTCCCCGCCGCAGATGTTCATGCTGTTGCTCGAAGGGGACGCCGTCAGGCTTGGCCTCCTGCAACTGGCACATAACCTGGACCTTGACGCCCGAGTCGCGAACATCGTAGAAGACGAGCTTGTTGCCCGAGGCGCGCTTGTTGTAGATTCTGGCCCCGACTCGGATCTCGAGGTCCTTCTTGTGCTCGCCCGACTTGAGAGATCCGAACTCCTTGACGAAGTTCTTGATGTCGTAATCGACCTGGAACTTGTGCGGGTAAGGGTTGGGGCTCTTGGTCTCGCGGAGCTTCTGGATGGTGCGTGATCGGATCTCGAAGTATTGCTGTAGTGAGCCCGCCTCAGTCAGTCAATTCCGCCTTGGGTATCCGACATTCTTGTTGATTGATAGAGGGCAGGGCAACGGTACATTTGGGTTCAATTCCTTCTCGTCGGCCTCAGCATTGCTCTTCTTGGCCTGCGCAGGCTTTGGTGGTGCTGCCGCCGCCGCCTCCGCCTTGGCTGCCTCCTTCTGTCTGTTTTTCTGGCGCTTCTTGAGCTCCGACTTGGACACGCGTTCACCGGTGACCTCGTCGAGATGGAGGTTCGCAAGGGCCTCAGCGGGCGCGGGTGCGGAAGTTTCAGGTGTATCCGCCATGGTTGTGTTGCTGTGTTTCTGTGGTATCGATGGCGGATGGCGGGGTCGTGATGATTTTCAAATCTTGTGGTGGGGGTTGAGTCATGCACGAGGTTTTGCCGAATTTGCAGGGCTTGAGGAGTTTCCTATATGTATAGGTAAGAAATCAACACCGTCAGAACCGAATTCGCTCTCTTCCCAATTAACTCCTAGATATATCTTTGAAGCAGGTTGGGGAGGGGAGCATATTTCAATAGTCAACTGACCGTCCTGGATCGCTCTCTTTTTTAAGGGCGATCCCAAGAGGTTAGCATGGCTAGTTACAGGAGCACCCATTCTAGTCGAGCACATACATCAGTTGCTGGGTCAACCTAATAGAGAAGGATTGTCATAATTGATATCACGATTATTCGTTTCTATATGATCAATCATTTTAAACAAGAGTCTTTCTTATCAAAGCCAGATAAGCGATCGATCACCATGTACCTAGGTAGGTACACATCAATACTACCACCCGAGTACAATGATGTCCTGGTCATTCTCAACTGCGCTTGATCTCCAGGACAAAATTTCAATATTCATTTAACGACTTTTGAAGCGTAAGACTGGCTAGAACGGAATATTATCGTCAAAAACTTCGCTTTCTCTCGCCAATTACTCCCGCTGACTTACACCTCAAAACCTTACAAATGGGAAGTCTCGAATTCATCTGGCTAATGACCAAGTCATCCACCCACTTCTCACTCCGGCCTCCCGTCGTTCAAGCCATCAAAGCAACAGTGCCCATCAAAACAAGACCGAGCACCATGATAACACTCCACTCACTTGTCTTTCCCGCACCATTCGGCGTCGACGTAGCAGATACACTCGGGTTGGTGCTTGCCGGAGTGCTGGTTGTGCTTGCTGCCGGTCCGCCAGGATTTCTCGTCCCCGAGAATGTCGCGCTGCCGGTGGAAGCCACAGAGGAGGTGGAGGTAACTGTGCTGCTCACATTGCCTGATACCACAGTCGACGCGAGCGTGGCTACCGCGGAGGAAGAGACAGATCCGATGGCGACGATTCCGCCTTGCACTGTTTCTGGGTCGGTGGCGGCGCCTTGGTGGAGCTGAGCAGCTTCTTTGTAGGCCGCAATGCTATGGTCCGCAGGAGGGTTGATGACCGCAGCCATGCCACTGACGCAGTGGGTGCGGACGGAGCAGTACTTCATCATAGTCAGCATCATTGTTTGGGAGCCCAAGATCTCCAAGATTTTGACGAAACCCGTTGAGGATTTGTACATACGAGCCAGATGGGGTCATTGGAAGTGACGTTGATGGTGAATGTGTTGGCCTGGATGATTTCATTAGTTCAAAATTGGCAGACTTCGGGACTCGATGCTGGGGACTGGGATTAGATGGGGATGGGTGGAGAGAGGACGGAAGGGAAGAAAGAAGGGTAGACTCACACCATCATCAGTTCCGGGAATGATACCTGAGAAAAAGGCATCGGTGTTTGGCATGCATGGGGAGTCGAAGGCGCCAGAGACGACGTTGTGCGAGCCAGAGCCGCTGTAGAAGTGGAACACGACGCTATCATTTTTCATATATCAGCCCTGCTGCCGTCCAGAGCCTCCGATCGAGTGAGTGGTGAGGGCTGGCACCAGAACAAGGGATCACGATGGCCTAGGCTCGAGGAGAAGGGGGACTCACCTATCTCCAATACTGGCTGTGAAGACATCAGGATCAAAGGTCAAGCCACCGCTTCCGACCTTGACGTCGATCATGGCGGCGAAGGCTCCGGCTGCGACGAGCAGGATGCTGATGAGGGCGGGAAACATCTTGGTCTGGTTTCGCTGGAGTCTTCGTTGATGTGGTGTACTTGAGCCTCTTTGCGACGTCGAGAGTTTGATTTTGGAGTGCCGTGCAGAGAGTGTCGTATGGTTGTCGTTGAGAGCAAAAGCTGAGGCGGGCGGGACGTTATAAAGCGGTGGTGTGGTTGTACGCAGTAGCTGGTGAATGGAAATGGGAATCTCAGCCAGCCAGCCATTAAATACCAAGCGGTGTGGTCTTCTGCCCTTTCCTTCCTCTCGTATGTAAAGTGTACGGTAGATTGTAGACCCAGCTCTCGGGACCTTCCTTCCCAGGTAGCACGAGATCGTATAGGACGACAGGAGCAGGAGCTTGCCGTCGGATCTTTGCATTCCCGCCTTCCTGTCTTACAAACCAAGCCAAACAAAATCGAAGGTACAGCGCTGCTCATGATATCATCATCCGTCGCGTGCAGCCGAGTCGAATGAGGCAGGTAGGATGCAGCCAGCCACCGGTGCGGGAGGTTCGAAAGCAAGGGCAAGAGCGGCGTGTGACGAGAGACTTAGTCTGTAGGCCATTAATATATACATATATGTGTATACATAAATATATATATCCTATGTAGCTTTTCATGACCCGTTTAATTCTCCCCTTTGACGTTAGAGAGATGGGCCAGATATTCGAGGATGGCCGAGAACTGAGTTGTTAGCAGATCAGAACAGAGCAGAGCATCGCTTCCATCGTGCTGAGAAGCACCCGAATCAAAGCAAGCGAAGCCAAGGACATGAAGCAGATGTGTACACACACACATATATATATGTAAAGACCTATTGATCGTTCACTACACATTTACACGTTAACGCTAAGATGCTATGTACAAGGCATAAAAAAGTCATAAAACATCATCCGGAAGCACTCGGCTTCACCAACGCCCGCTTCTTGAAGGTCGTGTTGAACCCGTATTGGCGGACAAACCACGCATTGTGGATGATCCACTCTTTGGACGGGTCTTGGAGTTGGATCTGCTCTGGTCAGCTTGTCTCCGGGTCCGATGGGAGATGGGAAGGGGATGAGGGGCGTACCTCGAAGCGTCTCAGGACGGTAGGAATCAGCTTGTACATCTCCAGCAAGCTGATGTTGCGGCCGATACAACTCCGAGCACCCATTCCGAACTGCAACATCACACCCGACATCTCTTTGATCCGCTTCGCCTCGGCCTCCGGGTCCTTGCTCTCGTCCGCCAACCACCTCTCCGGTCGGAAGACCTCCACGTCGTCCCCAAAGATCTCGCGGTTGCGGTGGATCACCCAAGCGCTGCACCCAACAATAGTACCACCCTTCACAAAGTGCCCCGCGATCTCCGCACCGGCGGCAGGGACGACACGCTCGAGCGGTAGTCCAGGAGCAGGGTGCATCCGGAACGCTTCCTTGATACAGGCGTCGAGGTAGGGCAGCGATTGCGCTTCCGTCCACGTCACGACGCCGTGCTCGTTGTCCGTGAAAGCGCCCTCCCTGGCCTTCCCATCGAGCTCTGCGTACAGCTTCTCCATGCAATCCGGGTTCTTCAACAGGTAGTAGAACACACTTGAGAGCGAGATCGCCGTCGTTTCGGATCCCGCAAAGGCCATGGAGATAGCCATCGTCATGACGAGCGAGTCGGTCATGAACTCCGGACGGTCGAATTTCGCCTTCACGAACTTGGAGAGCAGGTCTGGTTGCGACATGGTCTTGGGCTCAACGGACGGGAGGACCGACTTCCCGCTTTCCTTGGGGAAACGCTCGGCCACGCGGTCCTGGGCGAATTTGGCGACCGGGAAGGTGGCGTCAACGAGGCCATGTTTAGCGGCGAGCAGGTAAAGGGGATTCTTGAGGAAGAACAGGTCCAGCACGGGAATCTGACCGATCTGTGGAGGGTTGTCAGCTTTCTATCCAGAGAGAAGATTTATGGAGCAGAGACGAACAGGAGCGACGTAATTGAATAGTTTGTTGATGTAATCGATGATGCCGTCGACATCTTTGTTTTCCTCGAGGAAGCCGTGACGCTTACTGTATGTCATCTCGCCGATGACATCGAAAGCGTAGAATTGCAGCCAACGGGCGAAGTTGCAGCCCTTTCCAGTCTCGGCGTACAACTTGTCCGTCTGAGCGAGGAAGAGCTCGGTAGTGGAGTCAACAAAGGGTTCATACTGGATCAGCGTGGACATGGAGAATGCACTGTTCACACTACGGCGGAGTTGCGCGTGGAACGGCTCAGAGGTGGTGCTGAAGAGGGAAGGGAGACGGTGGCCACCGGCAACCGACTGCTGCACAGGGTAGAACTCGGACTGTGTCTCTGGTCAGCTCATTTTTCGTCACGCGTTGGGATATTGCGTACTTTCGTGAAACCTTTGTTGAGACCGTAGATAGTCTTCAGCGCCTTGGGGTTGGAGAATGATATGCTGTTTGGCCCTAGTCGGACCACATCCCCCAGTTGCTCATGGAGTCGGATGTGCTCGACTTCCGGCCGTCTCTTGTACACGATCCAGAACCTCCACCAATCTGTCAGGGAAGCAAGAAACGGCCCGGGATATTTGTTCAGGCCCCGATTGAACCGGTTGCAAAGCAAATATGCAACGAACACAACCCCGAGGGCAGCCGGCCAGTGAATCAGCAAAGCTGCGATAATCGACTCTACCGCCATATTTGGTGGCTCTCTCTCTCACACACTTGATCGAAGATTGAGGGAGGGCGGACGACGCGCAGTTGTAGTTGATATTCGTGATGATGGACAACGGGAGGGTGGTTACACTAAGACGGAATACCTCCTGAATGCGAACGTTAGATAGAGCGAGAGGAAAAGGGCTACTCCGCCTTTATAGCCTCCCGGAATTGCCCACGCGGGAAGCTACATACAACTATATACTAAACACCATTCCAGCCGCAGCACTCACGAACCGGCAGACAGCTGTAGTGCAAAGCCCCGAGCCAAGACTGCGTCCGGCATATTCTCTGTTTGTCGGAGGGTACGAGAGCAGAAAAAAGAATACCGCAAACTGTACTTCAGACCAGGGCACGCTGGAGGAAGACGTTCCATCCTATGAGACAGCTGCCGAAGGCGCAACGGCGAAATGGCGGCGGTCTCCTTGTCGACTCGAGTACCGGTACCAACCCAGTGGCGCATGGTGGGAGGATCCCCGAAAGGTTCTATTTACGGGCTACGGAGAGCTACGGGAGGTAGTTCGGCTGTCAGAGTCGAGGTTAGATGGTACTACGTACTTGTTTGCTGAATAGACTTGCCCATTTGGCCTAATCCGTGTTACTCGCAGCTGGAGACGAGATAGGGGATACAAGAAACAAGAGAAGGAGAAAGAGCAACAATAAGCGAGTCCAGGGCCCCGACAACTCTATTGTACAGATCACGCGATCTGAGGCCGGCAAATAAGAAGATGTCACGGGACCTGAGTTCGGCAAATGAGACGATGCATCTGCCGCGTTCTCCCTCTGTACCGAGTAGAGAATATTCTCGCAAATGCCGCATTGCGAGTTGCGATGTGTACGTCGTATGTGCAGCCCGGAGCCCCCGCGGCACCAAGATGCACGGCAGTTGTTTCGATCTCTCTGGGCACATTGGCCCAGGAACAGGAAGTGGCAGGAAGTGGGGCTGATCCTCCGTATTGACTCGGTTATTCGCAATGGCAACTGATGAGGATGAATAGTTGAGAGGTCGAGAGGTCGAGAGGTCGAGGAGCACGCCCTACGGAGTACTTCTGCATCACTTTGTCCTGTATTGTATTACTACCTACATGTAGCGCTTGACTCTCAACGGTCCGACATTGCATATGTCCTATTCCATAACCACCGCTTGAGAAGGGCCGGGCCGGGCTCCCGGCCAGTCTCATTTGGATAGCCTTTCGTTCAAAACCAAGTTGCTTCACCGTCCTTCTTCTTTTTTCTGTTCTTCCCTTTTCCTTTTTTTTTTTGGAGCTTCTCGCGCTTACCGCAAGATGGTCGAACTCTGTCACAATTCATCGAACGATGGCATGCATTCCACCTACCTAGCCTTTGGCCCTAGTAAGCTACAGGTAAGCATCCGAGCATCTGAGGATTCCCAATTCATGTACACTCGTGGCACTGGTTTCCATAAATGCTCTCTGATTACTCAATTTGGCCTGCCTAGAGGCGGAACCGACGAGTCCTACAGGACAGCCTCCACGTCGCATGTGGTTGTTGACCAAACAGTGGCAATCTTGCATCCGCTCGTAAAGATCGCCAAAGGCCATCTCTCACGCACTCGAATCAATGCCTCGTCGAGGGGCGATAGCGGTCGTACTTCTGTTGCTCCAACTCACAAGAGATTGGTTCGTTCCGGCTTAGTTGGCATGATGAACCCTCCTCCAGCCTCGCTTAATATCCAAGTTCCAAGTCAATACTGCCCTAACGAACTCTTCCTGCCTACTTGATTTCAAGCATGCCGCACTAATTCTCACCCGCTCAACACTGCTGCCCGCTCCCTGTTTTCATCTCCTAGCCGCAGATCAAAACAAGCATCATACATTTGCCGATTGCTCAGCATCTCGTTTCGTTTTGAACCCCCTCCTCCTATTACCGCCAACTGTATTCATTGAATTAGTAAGATTTTCTACAAGGTTGCAGACTCGTAGGGGAATGCACGCCGGCGGCGTCAGTAAGTACCCCTCCCCTTTCCAAACAGCCATCATCGCCGCGATAAACCCCCACCCAGCCTCCTTCCACCGCAAAGCCCTCCATCCAGTCACCCTCTTCACAGGCCTCCACCCCCCC